CCCTCCATGTCACAGCAACCTGCTGAACAACTCAAACATTTTGGTGTAGGGCAAACATTCCTATTCTCACTCATCCCACCATGTACTAGGTTGCTGTTTTGGGGGCTACCAAATTGTATTTAATTTCTATTGTATATGGCGTAAAAATGTAATTGAAAAAAAAGTTGGAGCATAGAACCACTGGCACTATTGATTAGAACCGATCCTGATATCCGAGGGCTTGAGATAGGAGGCACCTCACATAAACTGTGCTTGTTTGCTGATGACGTCCTGCTTTTTCTCACTTCTCCCTTAACATCTACGCCTACTCTACTTCGTCTTCTTGATAGGTTTGGCGCGCTCTCTGGCCTTCAAATTAACCCCCAGAAATCAAGGGAGCTTAATATCTCGCTACCACCTAACGAACTTACCCACCTCAAACAGATCTTGCCATTCTCATGGTCGCAAGACTCCGTCCCCTTTTTGGGTATAAAATTCACCCCGCATATCTCAGGTCTCTATAACGCTAACTACATCCCTATGCTGGCCCATCTAACGGCACTTATGACTAAATGGTCCTCCCTTCCTCTTGCTTTGGCTGGGCAGAATAGCGGTCGTGAAGATGTCGATCCTTCCCAAAATCCTTTATCTTTTCAGAGTTCTCCCTATTTCTGTACCCACTCATTACCTGCGAGTTCTGCAGCGCCGTATTTCTTCTTATGTTTGGGGCAAAGTCCGCCCCGCAGTACTCTATACTGATCTAAACTGCATGGCGGTCTGGGTCTCCCTGAGATCAGCAAATACTACCAAGCGGCGCATATGGCACAACTACCAAAATATCACGCTACCTACGAAATCCCGCAGTGGGTCATTCTCGAATCCATCGAGTGCGACCCCTTTACTATAGCAAACCTTCTTTGGTTGCGACGCATTGACCGCCGCGCGATTGAGAATCCCATTACTATGCATTTTTTGTCCCTTTGGGACAAACTGAAATCTCGTTACCTGCTACAATCTCCCCATAACCCCCTCCTTTCCTATCTTCGTAATCCAGCCTTCCCCCCGGCCTGGTCCGCACCGCACGTCTTTGCTCAATGGGCAACGGCTGGTCTCACCCAGACCTGTCATTTTGTACTCAGGAATCAATTTAAATCTTTTACCTCTCTCTGTGAGTCCCATAACCTCCCCACCTCTGAATTATTTAGATATTTGCAGTTGAAACATTTCTTTGCTCCGTACACATTGGCTGCCAACCCAATTTCTTCACTGTCTCCCTTTGAGCGAGCATGTCACCGAGACCCTCATAGACGAGGTCTCATTTCCTATCTATACTCCCTTTTTACGACCCCATCCGTTTCACCATTACCCTCATATACCGATAAATGGGAAGCTGATTTAGGCCGGCAAATCGACCCCTCAGATTGGGACCTCATTTGGAACAATACCAAGGAGTCCTCGCAAAATGTTGTGGCCCTGGAGACCAATTACAAAGTCCTGACCCGCTGGTATCTTGTCCCAACCAGAATTGCGAAATTTACCCCTGATTATCCCCCAGTTTGTTTCAGAGGCTGCGCAGACCTAGGAACATTTTTTCATATTTGGTGGGATTGCCCAATCGTCCGTACTTTTGGGCGGAGGTATTCAGAACACTGTCTGCACTCAGCGCCACAACCCTCCAGCCAAGTCCTCTAGTCGCGCTTCTCAATCACCGGCCACCAGACATCACGAAGGCAAATTTTAAGCTTATTCTACAAGTCACCACTGCGGCCAAACAGGTTATCGCTAAAGCCTGGAAATCACCCTTACTGAATACGACTGCAGTCATGACTAAGGTCACTCAGGCGATGATCCACGCAAAAATTTAAGCCACTATCCTGGATTCCATCCCCAAGTTTAAAAAGATTTGGAACCCATGGGTGGAGCATTTCCTCCCGCCCAACTTTGACGAGTCCCTTCTCAACCCTTAATCTATGTTTTTTGCTTTACGGGAACCATCCTTTGTTGATACTGCGGTTATTTGGCTATTTTCAGTATCCCCTTCCTTGGTGCCGTACACCCTATCCCTCCCTTCCTCTCCCCCCTCCTCCTTTCCTTCATGTTAGGCTCTATTTGATATTTGTTGTTTACTCTTGTTAGTGCTGCCTGACTAGGATAAATGGGAACCTTTCCTGTTCATTTACTGTACACCTCCAATATCCCATTTGCTTACTTATAACTTATGTTGTTGTACTTTAAAACAATAAAATGTTTGAACAAGAAAAAAAAGTTGGATCCAAAACTGAAGAAAAAATGTGGGAACTGTCGAAATTGACACTAACTTTGGTATATCCCATGCAATCTACTTGCATATTTAAATATTATTAAAGCACCCCCTGCCTTAAAAAAAAGAAGAATAGATCCACCTAAGGTGCATAAAAAGGCTTTTTCTTTTCTTTATTTGTGCTCCAACCTTGACTCAAGAGTGACAATCCCTACAACAGGGTGAAGATAAAGACCTCTACTTTCTGTGAGAAGACCAGTGCAACTCCAGTGGCAGAAGGGAATTGAGCAAAATTTCTTCCCTGCAACCCATGGTTGCAGGAAAGACATTCACTCTGTGTATGGGCTGCTTCACTCAGTATCTTAACATCTCAAAGTTTAAAACGTACTTGTGTTTTGGTATTTATCAGGAGGAAAACACTCTTCTACTGATGTTTGCCGTCACACATAGGGAATTTCTGAAATGACAGGTACATGAAGAACAGATTAGATTTAAATGTTATTCACTATCATTTTATTCTATACAATACTTGTATCAAATATTTCTGGATGGTATGAGCCTTGATATTTACCCAGACTAGCTTGCTAGGGAGAATAGATGTAGTTATAACATGTATGAAAAATGTCTTGCCATTATAGCAAAAAATACGAAATTGACAAACATTAACATAAACCATATATCATATTTACTAAAATTGGAAATACTATTCATGTAAACAAATGGACTACTAATCCAACCAGCAAATTTGGTTCAGAAACACAAAGGTAACGGAGTCCTCCATGGAGGGGGTCTGGGTACACTAAGCTGTTATATTCAGACTGAAAGACACAACGCCACTGAAATATTGAATTCTAAGAATAAATGTCTATTGTGCAAAGTGGCACACATCTTTGATTAACATGACATTTTAAACTGAAATCCTTACACAAATATAATTTTTACAGAATATAAATATATAAATGTAAAACAGCAGGAATCGTATTAATAAATGAATTTATAAGAGTCTTTCCTATACATTATTATTAAGTCAGAAAATGCAATAATGATGTGATTATACTAGGAACAATGTTACCCAGATTTTACTTTGAAGAAGGTTGATTCATGCTGCCAAATACTTAGAGAATTAGCCATCTCAATGTAGCTAATGCCGTTATCAGTGATTTGCAGTGAACCTGCAGTGATTCCATGCCCTTCATCTTCAATAAGACCACATAAGGAAAGCTCTTTATCAACGCTGCTGCTTAATTGCTGTAGGCTGTAGCTGTGCTCTAAAACATTGCTATACTTAAACTGGTGAACCACAGCCATTTTCAACTGAGCTTTAGAACTGTGGGAATAAGCTAAAAGCTCTGAAATTGGATTGGACAAATGGCTGTCTTTCATTGCGCCTTTTCTTTGTAGAAGACATTAAAAATAGAAAAGCTTTCATAATGTAATAGACAAGCAATATAATAAATTATTAACCAGATGGTGCAAAATAGAGGGATAAATTCAATAGAAGTCCACATTCTTCAGATTCCCCAGCACACAGACCTGGTTAGCGGTTATGTGAAAGTAAGGGACAGAAGGAGCCCACACATATCTTTATTAGCCTGACATTCCTCCCTAAGATCCCCCGGAAACTTTTAGCAAATTTCTCATTTTTAAAAAAAAAATGCAGATGCATTATTAGTCTGAAAATTCACTGTTGTTTGTTTTAGAATGTTTATGCTTTGCTACTGAAAGTTTAAAAAGGACAGAAAATAGAAAGATTTGCAGGGTGCTCCAAAAGACGTTATCCACATCCCTACAGCTTAGGGCAGGGTTTCTCAACTAGGGTTTCTCCAGAGGTTGCTAAGGGTTCCTTGAGGAATGAGCAATTTCTGCCAGATAAATTCCCACTGACACCATTGATCTTTTGACCTATCTGTGAGATGGTAATTCTTCCCAATGACCACAGTTGTAAGGAGCAGCCCCAATGATCATTACACTAATGCATCATGAGTTGTAAATATGGTCATTTTTAACAGGGCTTCCCTAAGACCGTAAAGTTTAATTCTAGTGTTCCTCTGTGTTGAAAAGATTAAGAGTGGACTGATCAGGGATAGTGTTTGAGGGAAAGTTAAGCCTGGTACACACAGGCCGAAAAATCAGCCAAAAAGGGTCAGTTTCGCAGGAACCAGCTGACTTTCGGCCTGGGTGTACAACTCCTCATCTGACAGAAGCCAATCTCACGCCCGGCTACTGTCGAATGGGCATGCTGGAAAATCAGCATGCACTTGGCATCTGATCAGCTCTTGCAGCCAATGGCAGTTCTCTATCAGAATGCAATAACACAGCGGGGGAGATAGTTGTACTAACATCGCTTGTGTTAGTACAGTGATCTGTCAGTTGGGCTGAATGTAGAAAAACTCTTACTGTATACCAGGCGTAACTATTACGTTGCAACAGATATTAAATATAAAAAGAAGAGGTCTTGAGGGGAACTGATCTCTTTTTCTTACTCTTCATGTTGTTCCCTTCTTGTTTAACCCCTTGCCTAATAGGGCACTTATACCCCCTTCCTGCCCAGGCCAGTTTTTAGCTTTCAGTGCTGTCGCACTTTGAATGACAATTGCGCCGTCATGCAACACTGTGCCCATATGACATTTTTATCATTTTTTTGAGACAGATAGAGCTTTCTTTTGGTGGTATTTAATCACCTCTAGGTTTTTTATTTTTTGCTAAACAAACCAAAAACAACTGAAAAGTTTGGGAAAAAAACATTTTTTCTTAGTTTTTGTTATAAAATTTTGTAAACAAGTGATTTTTCTCCTTCACTGATGTGCGCTAATGAGGCTGCAGTGATGGGCACTGATAGACTGCACTGATGGGCACTGATAGGTACTGATGAGGAAGCACTGGTAGGTGGCAGTGGTGAGCATTGACAGGCATCACTGATGGGCACTGAAAGGCGGCACTCATATGGCACTGATAGGCGGCACTGACTGGCATTGTTAGGCAGCACTGATGGGCACTGATAGGCAGCCCTTACTGGCACTGATTGGCAGCACTGATAGGTGGCACTGACTGGCACTGATAGGCAGCACTGATAGGTGGCACTGACTGGCACTGATAGGGGACACTGAAAGGCAGCTCAGATGGGCAATGATATGTGGCATTGATGTACACTGGTAGGCACTGATATGTGGCATTGATGAGGCACTGATGGGCACTGGCCGGTGGCATTGATGAGCACTGGCAGGTGGCATTGATGGGCACTGACAAGTGGCACTGCTGGGGCTACACTGATCATCAGGGCACAGGCTCTCCTCTCGAGCTGTCAGCGTGACAGCTTGTGAAGAGAGAAATGCCTATAACCGGCATTTCCCTATTTTCATGTGATCAGCTGTGATTGGAAACAGCTGATTACATGACCGAGCTGACATCTTCGGCTCTTTCCATTGATTGGTGATCCGCTGTGTCCGAGGGACACAGCGCACCACCGATCGCCACGCTACGCGGTTAGAGTGGGAAGATGTCATATGATGTCCTCCCAGAACAAGAGAACCGCCTTGCGCTCGTCATTACCTTATATGACGGGCGGGAGGTGGTTAAATTTAGATTTACACAGGTCAGAAGCAAAGTTTTAGTATTAAGATGCATGAATACAGTCATGTGATCTGTGTGCTTTTATAGGCTTAAATAAAAGTTAAGTTTTAATTCTTGGGAATTGGTATGTGATCCGCACATCTCAAAATCATTTAAATCATTTCCTTTCCCATATACTTTGAGACCTTCTTATTATACTGCCTTTGGGTTTAGTCCATTTATAATAGGTATATATTCCTATTTAGCTCATTTCTAAAAAGGTAAACATTCCCATTTCTATTTTTAAGGCTGTAATGGTTTTTTTTCCTCTGGGGTTTGTTGTATTTTTACTACAGAGAAAATAACCTTGTGAATTGAATTTTTTGAAAGACTTTGCCAGTTTTTAACCAAACCAGGTCTGATGCACTGTTTCTCAGTCCAGGAAACTTGTTGTGCCCCATTGTTTTTCTTTTTCAGTTTACTTTATTTTTCTTTTATTTGTCTACTTTTCAATATCTTTTTACTATCTCACTGGCATAGCATCTCTCCCTTTTAAACTGCTAAAACTAAAAGTAAAATTAATTGTTTAATTAGTTTATATATCCAGACTCCAGTAGTTTCTATTTCAAAAGCACAGAGGTAAACTAAGCTGAAGCTCCTTTTTGCTAAATTCTACTGAATATAATCAGCTGTATGAAGAGAACACAAGACACTTTACCTCACTTTGTACTTTAGTAAATTGGGCCTAGGTTCACTTCTCTTCAGCCCGCCAAATGATGTGTTTTGGCTACATCCGTGCATAAATCTATCTAAGAAGGCTGCATTTTGGCATAAATAGCATATGTAGGCTTCCAATCCAATTGCTGATTTGCGGTGTACAAAACATATCGCTGTATTATCCCCGGGTACTAAATTATAAATTGCCCTATTACCTGGAGGTACCACCATATGTCTGTCTCTATAGCAAGGGATAGAAAAGCATGCTATGGCACCAACTGTCATTCAGGATCAGCCTAAGAGTGCCCTCCTCAGCTGGGTTTGTCATTTATTCACAACATGAAATATGAAATTCTTTTATTTCCCTGACTTGTTCATCTGTAGCTGTGCTCATCGGGCAATACAGCTAAGAAAGTTTATAGTTTTCATTCTTTGATCTAAATACTCTAAAGTTTAGAGTGTAGAGTGTGTAGTTTCTAACATATGTATGTATGAGATTATACAGAGTGGATTTCTACAGAATAGCAAGAGCACACAATTTCATATCTTCATATCATATGATGGGCAGGAAGGCCTGTACTCTTAGCATCTTTGAATAAGAATGCCTATGATCCTTCTTTACTGGGTCTCTTTAAAATCTAAAAACAGCTCTGTATATAGCAACACTTGACCTTCTTGACATAAGACAAGAGGTCTGAAATGTGAATTGGTAACTGGATGCACAGCCACCCAGAGCTACAAAGTTATCTTCTAAAGGAGATATAAATGCTCTTTGCAGACGAGTCCCACATTCGCCACAGTAAAATGTATTACATAAGCATGCCTGTTCCATCGTTAAAAGGCAGTATATGATAGCAAACTATGTGAAGTCATCTTTCACTAATTTGTGAACATTGAATTTCAATGCTATAGGTAATGCACTTAATAAATCCTTATTGCTCTAGTGCAATGGTCAGCAACCAGCAGATCATGATCTTCCAGTAGATCGGGCCAGGTGACTGATAGATCGTGGCCTGGGCTTGCTGACCCGCCATCACACACCATCAAACAGAGTGCAATACAGAGGGACTACTTGTAATGTTGGAGCTAAAGTAGGGCGCAAGAGCCGCATAAGCCAATGCCTCCTCTCTATTGCTAGCTCCTATCCCATAAGGAGTGATAACAACTGCACTCCACTTCTTATCCCGGCTAGCGGTCTCCAAAGTGGTGCCAGCAACAGGAAAGAAGAAATGTTCCAGTCAGTGTGAAGCAATACACTGGGCATAATAGTATAGGGCTGCTTTCACACTGATGAGCAGAGGTTTCCCCAGTGCAGTGTACCTGCAGCTTTCCTGCAGGTTTGCAGCGCTTAGCTATAGACTTCTATTATATCCTGGGGGTTTTGTGTACTTTCTGAAAGTGCACCAAAACTTCTGCATTGCACAGATGCATTGTACTGTACCTGGGGTGCAGGTAAACTGCAGCACATCAGTGTGAAAGCAGCATTAAAGGGGGCTCATAAACGTAAGGGGTCATTTAAATTTGCAGTTTGGGGGTAGTATAACCCCATAGTTAGGATGTGTTTTTATCACCCTCGCCCCAACCGCACCCCCTTTAGGTGCAGTGGCCAAAGGTGTACACGTTGCAGCCGCAGTAGGAGTTATACGCCCTGTGATGGTTGGTGAGTGTAGCACCTGCCAAGCATGATCCACTCAAGTGAATGAGACCGCTCTGCAAGTGTCCTGCAACCTTGTGCAGTACAGCAAAGAAGGGGTTAAAGCAGGCACAATTGTGTTGCTGTCTCACTACCTCCTTTAACTCCTTGGACCCTGCAGAAGCATGCATTTGCATGGTGGCACCATATACTTTAACTAGCTCACGTTTGGCAAATGGTAGCACACACCAAAAGCAACAAGGGGGTTAATTCCTGCTGTGGAATGTGTACACCATTGGCTGCTGCCTCATCAGCTATAGGGGGTGGGAATTGGGGGTGGAAAACCTGCAACTCAACCACAGGGTTTTACCACCCCCAACTGCACGCTAAAAAGCCTGAAGGGTGCAGCTGCTGAATGAAACTAAGGGTTCATTCCCAAGTGCAGCAGGCACTGCTGCTCCTCTAAAAATCAATCTGAGTGTGTTATGCGATATGCTGCCTCCTCACTACCTGAGTAAAACCCATGATTGCCGTGCAATGCACACAACTGCAACAAGGTAGTACGACAATTAGAGGTTTAAACCAGGTGTGAGGAGGCAACACTGTGCCCGGAGATCTTTGACTTCTCCCATGTTGTTCAGGTAGATCTCCACCTCTTTAAGGTTGCCTACCCCTGCTCCAGTCTAATTGGATAATCCTAATAGCAGCTGCATAAATGATATCGTTAGCAAAGACAGAAAATGTATTCATTTACTGAAGTGCTTCTAATGATGTAAATAGTTTGTGAGCTGTGTACTTCAAACTGATGAATGATTGCAAAATACAAATACCACAGAAACATTATTAATCAGCTAATTATGTAATGTTTAGTCAAGTAGAGTCCGATAACAGATTTACATTGTGACTAGAGTTTTCTGCAGACTCTTATAATGTTTATTTCATGATACTTAGGAAGCAACACAAATATGAGGATGTGAGATGTCTACAGAACCCACAAACCAGTGTCTAATAAGGTTTTTTGGTTACAAGACTTCAGTAATTTTGGGTCAGGAAGTCTGTACAATTCAGTACAATTATGGATAACTATGTACGCATCTAATACTTTTCTACTTCACTTTAGAGAATACATGAATAGTCACTGTCAGACATCTCAAGGCAGAAATTTCTTTTTGACAAAACATCTTCATAGAACCATTCTCAGATACAAGTGAAACCAAATCAGCTACCATCCAAAATTAGGAAGTCCACTCAATTTACCATAGACTAGCCATAGACACTTAGATTTCGCTCATTCAGCCCTGTGGGTTGAACAAGAAAAGTCAATTGATTCCTCCATTCAGTTGATGGATGACTCTCCACTTCCGGCTATTGCATTCACACAGCTGCAGCACCCGTGGCTGCCTAAATACCTAAACGGTGACTGCATCTGACTGGATGCAGTTACTGTTGGGCCAACAATTTCCAGACCAGCTCCTTTGATTTTTACAATCAAAGTTTGTTGAACCAGGTGTTGCCGAAAGGGACACCCTCAGCTGGAATTTCATCTGATTCAGCAGGAATCGTCTGAAATTTGAGACAAGCATGGCTACCTTAAATTTCTGTAATTCATTGTAGACAGAATCCCAAGTGCACCACACAGGGTCACTTGGAATATACTTTTTAATATGTGCACTGTGTATCTTCCTGTTATCACCAATTCCATTGAATTTTGTAGGGCTTTGTTGGACAAAAAAATGGAAACACTACATTATGTGAGTGACGACATGTTCCGCATTGAAAGTGGAGGTGATGTAACATTTTTTGTTTCTACTGTGTGATGAGACACCTAGCTAACAGGTGGGAAACCTCACTTTTCTCATTCACTGCCTGCACTGCTAGTAATGCAAAGTCATATCAGAGCTCACTGAGTTTCAAAGAGGGCAAATTGTTGGTGCTTAGCTGGTGCCTCTGTGACTGAAGTTGCCAATTTATTTGCAGTGTCACAAGGTACATTATCAAAGGTTATGACAGCATATACAGTTTCCAGGAAAACTTTGTCTGATAATCATAAGCATAATCAAAAATGGCTGCAGGGCTCAATTTCAGTCTTCCAAAGCCCGTGTCCACAAAAATTGTGCAGAGGGAACTCCATAAGCAAAACATTCACAGGCAAGTTGTAATTGCCAAACCACTAGTTGCTAATATTAATGCTCGGAAGAGGAGAGAGTAGTGCAACACCCATAAATCATGGACTATCGATCAATGGAATTCTGTAATACAGTCCTATGAATCGAGCTTCTCACTGTTCCCCACCACCAGACGTGTTTATGTGTGACAAACACAAGCTTACAACCAGGACAGTCTTGTGCCAAT